ATATATATATATATATATATATATATATATACACAGTAGCTGTAAATAGTCAAATAAAGCTCAAACCCCTCTAGTTCTAGGCATGAATATCTGAATATCTGTCTGTGCTGCGCACTAATGTGTGCGTTTCTATAACATTGCTGCTTTGCAACATAATACCACCAATATATACACTCCCAAGATGACAAACGTTTGTTCAGTTGACTGTGTTATCTACAGTATAACTATGAGAAGTAAAATAAAGCCTGAGTATAATAACTTTTTATTTTTGAGAGGAAGGTGAGCTTGTGAGGTGGTCCTGACTATTAAATAGTTCCAAAGGTCAGTATTTGAGGCTCAAACACTACATTACATAACTCTTTTCTCTTTCATGCTGACTACTTTACTTTTTTTCCATTAAATAGATCATTTTGTTTTGTTTGTGTATGTGTGTGTGTGATTGAGGGCAAGAGATGTTATTCCCTTATTTTAACAAATGTGAATGGAATATTAGATTATTTGATGCTTTTGGAAATATCGCTAGTTGCATGTTACCTTGCAAAAATGTTCCATGTGCTGGACAATAACAGGATATTTCTAGGATAATTCTTGCATTTGATGTTTTTGTGGTTATTTATAAGTTATTTATTCAAATGCCAGAGGAAGTCTGCTGGGTAATGGACGAATTGTCATGAACATGGTAATATGGTTCTTTTTAAATTGTCCTAGAAATTTAAGAATTTAAAAACACTAAACATTGACAGGCATTTATTTAAGCATATTAGGGCTAATTGTAGTATGTAAAGACAGATTTCTGTTAATTAAAATTGTATACTAATGAATATTCAATCCAAATGGTTGCAGATGTGAATGTACAACGGTTTCACAGCTAATTAGTTAACTTGTCACATTGAAATGTCATGTACCCAGCTGAAATCTCCTACCTTGCATGTGGAGCTATTGAACACTGAACTGGCTGTGAAAGGCATGGGTTAAGAAAATATTGACTTGGGTGGCATAAACCTTCTTTTGTTTATTTTAATAAAATATTTGTCTTTATTACTAACTTCTGCATAAGTAAAGCTATGTGTGTAGAGTGTGTTTGGGCTTTGTAGATCTCTTTGCACTGTACATTTGCATTAAACTAAAAGTTCCTCTGTAGCCTGTTTGCTTTTCATTACAAAAATAAAGTTAGAGGAAAACACAGCTTGAAATGGTCATTTGTTGTACTTTTAGTGACTGGAGTAGTTTGCAAATCATACATGAAATGTATCCTGACGTGAATTGTTGAAAATGGGTGAGACCAGTTTTAAACGAATAAGTATCTTGAACATTTGAGTGAATCATTCAAAGACAGCTGCTCGTTTCATTCCATGTCTACAAAAGGTTCAAAATCTACACAAAACATTTTGGGTACTGTATGGACTCTTTAGGTACAAATGTGTATCTTTTGAAGAGGTACTGCCCCAGTGACCACTTTTGTACCTTATTTTCTGAGTGTTATGTATGGAAAAATATGTAAAGCTGACTCTAGTATTTGTGATTTATTAGTATAAAGTTGTATAAATAAAGTGTCATGAAGGAAGAGTAACATTACATCTTTTTATCTCATCATAATTATGATTATTTAAAAAACAGATTTTTCAGTTTTAATAGTCCTCACTACCAAAACTTTGTTTAGAAAATGTGAAGTTGTGTGTATATATATATATATATAT